TCTTCGCCACGCCGAAAGCCAGCCGCAGCCCCCGCGCTCGAGCCGGGGACTCAGACATCGCTTTGTCCTCAAGTACGACAGGTTAACGTTAGCTACCGTCTAATGGTTTGTCCTTACCTTTGTGATCTTTCAAGCTCCTGGTCTCAAGAGCTCCCGTGGAGCCAGTTTCAGACTCGACGTCTTCCACCGACGGTCTCTCAGAGATGTCCGATCGCGTCGTCTCATCCAGCTCCTGACTGGCCCTTTGTCCCGACGGCGACGCTTCCGGCAGCTGCGACAAATCGGTAGAACCGTGCGTCTGGTCGGCCGCGCTCTCAGCTGCAGAATCCCCGTACGCCGTGGCCTCCAAGGATGCGGCGTAACCCAGAGAAAGCGCCATTTCATCTTGAGCGATAGGTACCTGGAGGGGGGTTAGAAGGTCAGACGGACAGGAAGACAGGGTCTAACGGATTGCGTTTTTCTCGCTGCTTCCACCCGCCGCCCATGTATGGATGCTCCGGTTCCCGTCACCGGTGCTAGAGAGCACCGATGTGTAATCGTCGCTCTTTTACCAAAACGCAGACTCATAGAATGGTTTGGGTTGGAAGGGACCTTAAAGATCACCTAGTTCCAACCCCCCTGCCGTGGGCAGGGACACCCTCCGCTAGACCGGGTAGCCCAAAGGCTCGTCCGACCCAGCCTTGAACGCTTCCTGGGAGGGGGCATCCACAACTGAGAAGTTGGCAACCCGTTCCAGTGTCTCACCACCCTCACGGTAAAGAATTTCTTCCTTAATATCTAATCTCAATCTATCCTCTTTCAGTTTCAAGCCATTACCCCTTGTCCTGTCACTCCGTGCCCTTGTAAACAGTCCCTCTCCAGGGACTTTCCTGTAGGCCCCTTCAGGTACTGGAAGGCTCCTATAAGGTCTGCCCGGCGCCTTCTCTCGTCCAGGCTGAACAACCCCGACTCTCTCAGCCTGTCTGCTGAGGTGCTCCAGCCCTCGGATCATCTTCATAAAAAACATACTGGAAGACAGCCGATTGCACAGCACCTCCCTCGCTCCTGTAGGGGAGCCCAAGGAGAACTCCTTAGATTCTCCACAAGGTTCCCAACGAGCTACAGCAGCAGCCTCCCTTTCTGCAGCCGCCCTGCAGACCGGCGAGGTCCCTTTGACGCTCACCGGTAAGCGGCGACAAGCTGCAAGGAAGCAGCAAAAGGGTTCTGCCGAGCGAGTCGTCCACGCCGGAACCTTCCCGCACCGGTCCCCCGCGGGACAGGGTGGCTTCACGCGCACGTCCCTAGAAACAACCTCCCGGATCAGAAACGGAGCTCCCTAACCACCAGAGACCTTGGAAACTCCAGAGATGATCAGCGTGCTACGTTTTGTCGGGGTCTTCTTGGCGGGCTTGTTATTCGTCTCGGTCAGCTGCCTGATCGCCGTCTCAGCCACCGGATCCAAGCCGTTGGGCATATGGCTATCCCCTGAGCACGAGAAAGATACCGACGCTTGAAGTAGCGACCTTCGGCACGGGCAAGAGGTCGCTCGCTGACCGCGGCGCTCATAACAGGCGGCTATGCACACACGAAGGCAGACAACAATCTATTACGGACTTGCCCGAATAAACCCAAGGAAGGAAGCTCCATATATAGCTCTCGGCTCTTTTAGGTGCCTGAAAAGGTTCATCTCCCACGAGACATATCATTAAATTACCCTTCCCGCTCAGGAAAGATTTCCAAAAACTCCCAAGAGTTTGGGCAGC